GGGGTGGCTCTTCCCAGGCATTGCTGCAGAGACACTTCCCTGCTAACTATCATTTAATTTCAGCTGCACAATTATTTAGGTGGTCCCTTAACCACAGACTCCTGCCTCGACACCTTTGTGCAGCACTCTAGCTCCCCTCTTGCCTGAAAATTAAAAGTTCAGTTCACATTTCTGAAAGCAGCAGCTGACGTTTTTCCAAGCATTTGAGAAAAAATGCAAGGAAGGAGATGTAACTAAATCTCCCAGCCTGCTCTGAGAGTCTGACTCATGCTATTGACTTTTCCTGAGTTTTACTTACAGCCTCCTTTGCACATGCCAAGTCTCCAAGTGCCAGCACACATGCAGGCAGGGACAAATGCCTTGCTTAGGTGTTGTGAGGCTGACATTCTTCTGCTACATAAGATCTCTGAATCTCCAAACCAATTCTCTTTAAAGGCAAAAATAAAGAAGACTGGGCCAAAAATCTGAAAATGGATGAATTTGAGTTGCTGTGCACTAATGGGCAACGGGCAAATATCATGGCTTACAGGGACTGCCACCTGGCCAAAGTTCCTACCCATGCTGTGATCACACGACCTGAGAAAGCAAAAAAAGTCCGTGAGCTGCTGGAGAGGCAAGAGGTTAGTAGTACTGACAGCAGAAGAAATGTTCTGGGGTTGTTTTTATGTGGCATGTTTGCATTTTCAGCGCAATGGTGCTCTGAGTTTCCCCGAGTCAGCGAAACGTGGAAGATTTTAACTTACCGATATGAGATGACAGCCTTGTCCCTTAGCCTCCCCCTCCCTCCATCCCCTCTGAACTGCTCTTTCTCCTCTGCCACCTTAGCAAATACCCCTTTAAGTAACAGCTGGATCACAGTGGTTGCTGTTGTCACACTATACTTGTGTGACATGAGATTATCACCTCCTTCTTGGGCTATGCCTGCTCTTGCAAGTGTGTTTCAGAAGCTCCTCTGAGGTGCCTGGTCTCTAACCCAGCTGGGTCAGGCACAATGTAGGCATGAGGTAGGCACCGAACCGTCCAACCCTGGGAGGACAGCAGCCTCCCTGCACACACACGGTCTTACAGCTACTGGTGTAAATGCAACCAGGTTAAACCACCTCTGATTGATTTTACACTGAAAACGTTAATATTTGCTCCACCGTCAGGGTCTGCTGAGAGGCACTTGGGAAGTCAGCTCCTTTTGCTTTCAAGTCATGGCTAAGGCATAAGACCTGCTGGCAGCATCTGCCGATGGACTCTCCATGTAGTGACATGTTAAAATGGAAAAAAATTGTTTTGACAGTTGTGCCACAATGGTGCTTACCACTGAGAGATCCCTCGTCTAACCACATGAACAGAAGATTCAATCCTAAATTTCTGGAGCTTGGCTGGGAGCTCCCCAGGATGATGGTGAAGAACTAGGACTAAGCTGGGCTTGTATGAGTTGAATTTTGCCAGCTTTCTACTTTTAACGTACACTTATCTCTTTGTGTCTTTATTTCAGAAACTGTTTGGAACAAAAGGAATCGAGAAAGACAAGTTCAAGATGTTTGAGTCTCAAACGAAGGACCTTCTGTTTAAAGACTTGACCAAGTGTCTGGTCAAACTCCACGATGGAATAACATACAAGGAATTCCTCGGAGATCAATACTATGCTTCAGTTGCTAGCCTCAATACCTGCAATCCATCAGGTAACTGTAACAGCCCCAGGAAGAAGTCCGTGAATTGCAGTTCTTAGCCTCACAGGCATGAACAGTTTCTTCTGTAGCTGTCCACTTAATTTTTTTAAGCAAAATGAGGATAACTCACGAAGATGCCAGTATACTTTTCTCAAAGTTCCTTGGATGAACTGAAAACAGTCTTGAAGTCTGCTGCTCTGGCATCAATGGGAATCAAAGATTTTTACTCACCTTTAGAAAATATGCACTCTGAGAAATGGTAAAAAGAATCCACCCTGTCCCATCAGTGTGTGTTCAGTGCGATCTGTGGTTAATACACATTTTTTTGTGGCACACATTTTCCACGCGATGACGTTGTTGGCATGGCTGGGTGTGTACTGGTGGGATGGGAGTGTTTAAAGGCAGGATCTGAACTTCTCCCTGTCCTTTCCCTTTTCAGATCTCCTCCAGGTGTGCACCTTCCTTGAGGGCAAGTAGCGAGATGGGAAGGACCCTTGCTGGAGGGGGAGGAAACTTCAAGCCATGACTCCTCTCGTGCCCTCAGCACCGAACACCGACCTGCAGAGGGCCCTCTGCCTTCACTACTTTCTCTGCCCTTCCTCATCACTCTGAAAGTGGCTGTTTGAGACTTTACCATTCTCTGCTGCCATCACAGCAAGAAATAAAATCTCAAATCTAAACGGGTGTCCTGAGATTTTTCAGAACGGTCCTTAAGCCCATTCCTTCCTCAGTACCTCTCGCTGTAGGACAGTGCCAGATACCAGCATGGCTATTGCCACTTAAGGCTATTGCTGCCTGTTAGAGAAATTTGTTTCAACATTTGCCAAAGCAAAATCGATTAAATATGCCCTAGACACTAATTAACAGATGTTTTGTATTCTCTGTGCTTTTGCTTCACCCAGGTTATCCCATTATCTCCCCAACAGATGACAGTTGCTCAATGTGGTTGGGACACAGGAAGAGGGAGATTGTTTATGTCAGGGAAGCTGAAGGGTGGGGAAGGAAAAAAAACAAACCAAACAAAAAAAATACAGTGGTTGTATAATGGAAGGTGTGAACAGTAATTACTCCATCTCATATCTCAGCTGGCTGGATCTGAGTCATTTGCACCGGGCAGTACTCTTAAAACATGTAAGTATATTGACGGGGAGAGTCCAGGCTTAGACTTCCTTTCTGAAAAAAATCTAGGACTTACTTAGAAACATGTGTGTTTTGGTAGTCTGTCCGATGTGCTGCTGACCTGAAAACAAATATGTAGGTGGGCAGCCTGCCTCTCATCCACGGTGAGAATAAAAAGGCAAGACAAAATGTCTGCTGAGGCTCTCCGCTTCAGAGGAACAGTCTGGGGTAATCCAGCAGGTCCCAACCCTGTTGTCAAGGCAGACATGGAAAAGCTGCTGAGAGCAGAAAGATGCTAAGAGCTTCTGGCTTTGAGGGAATGAATATTTTGATGGGCTCACAGTGATGATTTTTTTGATGCATACGGTATGTGTTGTGAGAAGTCTGCTAGCCTGACTGAAGATCACCTTGGAAGACAGAAATGTAGAGTGTGACAGGAAGCAATGAAATTTAGTTCCTCACATTTATGTAGGATGAAATATACTGGACAGATGGCTTTTCTAACCTGTTCTTAAAAACTAGCAAAGAAAGAGATACAGCGCCCCTCAGAGCCTGCTTCTACAACTAACTATGGCTACAGTTGGAAAACTTTCCCCAAGAAAAGCTGCATCATCTGTACTCAATATCAGGTATAACCCCTTGTCTGACAAGTCGAAGGCATGGAAAAAAGGAACCTCACTAGAGGATCACAGAGTAATTCAAGTGGGAAGGGACCTCCGGGGGTCTCCAGTCCAACCTCCTGCTCAAAAAAAGAGGTCAACGAGGTTGCTCAGAACTCGACCTAGTCAGGCACTGAGAGCCTCCAAGGGTGGCAACTCCATGACCTCCCTGGGCAACCTGTCCCACTGCTTGACAGTCCTCAAGGGGAAGAAGTTTCTCTCATACCTGCTCTGAACCTCTCGTTTCAATGTATTCCCACTGCTTCTCGTCCTACACCACCATGAAAAGCCTGGCTCCATCCTCCTGATGCCTGGTACAAATGTGGCCATCTCTTCTCCAGTCTCAACAAGTCCTGGTCCCTCAGCCTCACCCCACAGGGCAAGTCTCCAGTCCCCTGACCATCTTGGTGGCTCTCTTCTGAGCTTGCTATCATTCATGGATGTCTTGCTTGAACTGGGGGGCCCAAAACCAGATGCAGTACCTAGATGTGGCCAAACATCTCAAGATGTTTGAGTCTCAAGCAAGGACCTGGTGCTGAGCTGAGGGGGGCAATCACTCCCGGACCTCCATAGCTCTCCGGCCCCCGCAGCCACCCACCACCCCCAGCGCCATGCCGTGCGTTAACACCCCCTCATGCGGTCAAGGCAACGTGCTCCCTCACCTCCAGGGCCAGTCCGAGCCGCGGAGCCCCGGGCCTGGCCCCAGCCCGCCTCCCCCTTCCCTCCTCCTCAGCAGCCACGGCGGCGGGAACTCTCCCCTCAGGAACTACAACTCCCGTGGGCACCCGCGCCCCCCTTCCCGGCAGG